CCACACCGGCCGGGCACATCTCTATTGTTTTAAGCGCCCCGGTCGGTGATCACTGTCATGGCAGCCCCAGCAATAGATGAGAGAAGGTCAGTGGGAACCTCGTCAGGGCGGGCCCGTGTCTCCCGCCCGGGGCCCCTGCAGGCTCTGAGGGGAAAGGCCAGAGGACCCTAGTGGACCACGAACACGACACGCTGCGTGGGCAGCAGCGGCCAAGGACGGGCCACGCGCTCTCCGCCTCGAACAGGCACCAGCCTGCTGGGCCCCGGGGGTCCCCTCCTTCCTACGTCCATCCTCCCAGCCAGCAGCGCCACCCGAGAGCGTGGAACTCCAGGCAGCACCTGGCCGTGGCCGGAGCCCAGGCCGACCCGGGGAGAGGTGTGTTTGCTAAAATAAGGCCAGGCCACGGGTGACCTGCGGGTTCCCATCAGCCAGGAGAGCAGGTTGCTCAGTGACCATGGATATTCGAGAGGGGTGTCTACTCCCAGGTACATGACACTTGCCCCCCACCCCCAGAGGGCACTGGCCTCCCAGCTCCTGGGGCGGACACAGCCGCCACCCCCCACACCTTCTGGGGGGTGACCTCCGGGAGGATGACCGCCACTCAGCACTGGAGCCTGCCGTAAACCCAGGCGGCATCCGGTCCGTGGGCGGCACCCAGCACGCGTGTGGACTCGACACCTTCTGAGGTCCGAGGGCCTGGGTGCCAGCGAGCACTAAGAGCCCAGCCCCGTCATTCACAAGCACTGCAGAGAGGGGGGATGGGGGGGGAGTGCCAAGGCCACCGGCCCGGCTGGCCAGGAGCCGCCGAGGATGCTGGGAGCCTCCAGGTCCCCACACAGGTCTCGTTCCTCGGAGCTGCTACCCCGCAATTTCTAGCATAAGAAATACAAATGAAAACACAGGATTCAGCACCTGTTTGTTTCAGAAACACTTGCTAAAAACAGATCTGCCGAAAGGCCACCGCTACAGCGAGTCGTGTTTCCTGCAGGCACGGCCCACGCGGTATTTTTAGTAACTCCTTCCCGCCAGGTAGCGGCGCGTGAGCCACCAGCACTATTAGCGACTTACTAAGCGGCAGCTTTTATTTTCAGTCCCAAACAGCTCGCGCCAGGGAGAGTAATAAACAGGCTGTTTTTAACCAAAGGTTAGAACAAAACACTTACACACCTTCGCCAGCGGGCCGTCCACCCACGCGGCGTCTTAGAGAGAGTGCATCCTGCAGAAGGTAACGCGGCACCGGCTGCTCCCCCTGGGAAACCGCTCTCTTCCTGACACACCTGTGCGCTCTATGAGCCCCTCCAACGACACTGTATCAGTGATTCTGTAAGTGTACCAAGAGCCCTGGCCGGTGGCCCAATCGGCTGCGCATCGTCCGGTCCACCAAAAGGTGGCAGGTTCAACTCCCAGTCAGGGCACATACCTAGGCTGCGGGTTCGATCCCTGGTCGGGATGCATACTGGAGGCAACTCACCGATGTTTCTCTCTCTCTCTCAAATCAATAAAAACAGCTCCTCCGGCGATTTTTGTGTGTCCTAAACGTGCCAGAACTCTGCACTTCGCAGGCCCCAGGAGCCAATGTCAGGGCAGGGAGCACAGCTTCTCTGGGTCTTTCAAAGTCATCGCCCGATACTCCTGCTCAGCAACTTGGCTCTTGGGCTCAAAGCCACGGAGAGTACTTTTCAAAATCTGATTTTCTGATCATTTTCCCTCCTCCAATCGTCCACCCAGGTTCAGTCAGACACTCAGCCCTGACTGAGATCGTGCCAATTACGAGTGTCACATGACCGAGGGAATTCTCCATTTTTAAAGCCACATTAGCAGGGCCTGCTTCACCTCAAAGCTGGAGGACAAAGCCGGTCGCGGCCACAGGCCTCCTTCCTCTCCAAGCAGCAGCAGGGCCCTCCAGACTCAAGTGACTTCCACACAAACAAGTTCAGAGGAAAAGCAGGCAAAACCCTGTCCGGCAGGCGGCGGTGGGAAAGGCAGCCTCTTAGGATTAGGATGAGACTGAAGCCTGCAGTGAAGGTCAGAGAGAGACTGTTTGTCACCTGGACTCGGTCATTCCTGGCAAGCCATGGAGGATCCCGCCTGTCTTTTTGGAAACGTGCACTAAGTTCTCACACACACACACACACACACTCTCCTTCCCCCACTCCAACTTTTTGCCCTGGATCCTGTCAGGGGTGGCCATGGGGGCATACGTCTATTTCTTACTACAGTGTCCATGACTTACTTCCTCTCCCACTGTGGTCTATGTCAGCCGTGGGCAAACTACGGCCCACGGCCGGATCCGGCCCGTTTGAAATGAATAAAACTAAAAAAAAAAAGACCGTACCCTTTTATGTAATGATGTTTACTTTGAATTTATATTAGTTCACACAAACACTCCATCCATGCTTTTGTTCGGGCCTCCGGTCCAGTGTAAGAACGCATTGTGGCCCTCGAGTCAGAAAGTTTACCCACCCCTGGTCTATATCCTTTAGAAAAGGAAAGGAGAAAAGTGAGGTGCTTTCTCCAAAAAGTACACCCCCTTGGGGTGAGAGGCCACCTTGGTTCTGTCACTCAAGACCTCCCCCTGCGTGGCTCACGTGAGCAACCCTCCTCCCGGGGAAACCCCTCTTAATAGCTCACCTTTAAAAAATATATATATACATATATATTAACTGATTTCAGAGAGAGAGAGATGGAAACATCAATGATGAGAATCACTGATTGGCTGCCTCCCGCACGCCCCCCACTGGGGGGATCGAGCCCACAATCCTGGGCATCAAGCCATGGCCGGGCATAGCTCACCTTTTAAAGAGACTGAAAGGCAGCAGGTACGTGAGGGTGACTTCACCTTTGTCTTGGCCTCAACGAGACAACATCCCGAATGGGGGTGGGGGTGATGGGGGGGAGTAAAGGGGGGGTCTCGTGAACTCGGTGCTCCTTCGGGGCAGAGCCACAGATGCACCCCAGCATTTTCACCTCCACCATCTGCCAAGCCCCAGATCTGCTAGTCGCGCACCAGAGGTGCTGGGTGGGGATAAAAGCTGAGCGACACCCACAGTTTCTGGAAAGCTGGCAATTACGGGAGGGAGGACCAGGCTTCTCAGGATCCTCACCACGCCGCGGCTGGAGAAGAGCCGGGCAGGGAAGTCGTCCGCCTCCTCCTACGCTAAGCACCACCGTCCCTCACCACATGGACCTCGGGCCAGCGCAGTCACCCCACAGCCACTCCCAGGCCCGAGAAGCCAGACGGTCACGTAAGAAAGACTCAGGAGGGAGGAAGAGGGGCTCTTGGGCTGCAGGGGGCTCCTCACTTCGACCCCGTCTGGGCAGGAGCTCCCTGCCTGCCAGTGTGCCCAGCACTGAGCCCTGGAACCCAAGGGCCAGGTAGGGACTGAGCGCCGAGTGCCAACAGCCCCAAGTCATGGAGCAAAAGCGCCCGGGGGAGGAGTGGGCACTAGGACAGGCCCCCGATGGATGGGAAGTGGGAGGAGCTAGAGGCAGCCTGGCGGCAGGCGGGTTATGTGCCCTCGCCAGGGACTTGGCCCCTTGCTGTCGGCATAAAGCCTCGCCTCCCCTTGCGACGCTTCACGAGGAACACACACAAGCAGCCTGAATCCTACACGTTTGGAACCAGAATGAAGTTCTACCTCCCTGGCCGACAGGACCTCAAACAGCGACCCCGGGCAGTGAGCCCCTGGGGTTAGGCCCGGCCTCAGGCCTCAGGGCGAAGGGAACGAGGTGGTCCTGGGGGCTGGGAACCAGCCTGTGAACGAGCCCCCCTCCCTCTCGGACTAGAGGGAGGCCTGCGTTTTGCTGTGATTGCTCCTCCTTTGAAGCGCTGCTCCCTTTCAGCGCGGAAATTCCAGCCAGAGGCACTGTTTCGAGAACTCGCTCTACCCCGCTCCTCTCCCAGCACAAAGGGCTGTAGGAACACGGGCAGACGGCCAGGGTGAGGAGGCCTGCACTCAAGTGCAAGGTGTTCCGGGGCTCAGTGGGGAACCAAAGCCAGGGGAGGGGAGCGTGGGGACAGGCGGGGGCCGGCACCTCACGCTGCGGTCAGAGGTCCCTGCACAGCATTCCCAGGGGTTCCCAGATGGGCACAGAATCCCAGGTCCCAGGTGGCAAGGAGGGCAGGGAGCCCACAGACACCCTGCCCACCCCCCACCCCCCATATTGTACTGCGGACGCCTCCTGGGCTCTGGCCCACAGCAGCCACCACGCCAGGCCGGCGGGCAGGACCCCAGCCTGGAGGCCTGGAGCCTGGGAGGCCCTGAGCTTGGGGCAAGTGGCTGGCAGGGGTGGCCCAGGGCCCGCGCTCACCTCGGAAGTCATCGCCTCTCGGGCTTCTTTGCGCGGATCTAAGTTACCACTTGGTCCACCCGGCCACGCCGGCAAGAGTTCACACCAACTAACTTCTGACCGCCCGAGGCTCCAGGCGGCGCCCCGGGTGGGGGTGGGGGTGGGGAATGGGGGGTGTGCTCTTCCTCTGCCTTCTCCTCCCGCAGAAGCAGAAGCCTGAGGACGCCTCCCAGCCCTGCAGCCCGGGCGCCGGCACTTGGGGACCTGCCGGAGCGGACCTTCCACGCAGGCAGTGGGGGCGGGGCGGGGGGCCCCTCAGCAGGAAAACTTCCAGCCGCCGGCGCGCAGGTGGAGAGGGGGCCCCCCTTCCCCCGGGGCCCCGGTGGGGGCGCGGGCTCTGGGCTCCCCCCAGGGCTGGCTGCTCCCCCCCCTCCCTCCCCATGAGCGCGCGCGCACTCCCGCCCTGGCTCCGGCCTCTCCCCCCACCTCCAGCCCCGAAGCCCGAAGCCGAGCCCCCCATCCGCGCCGGTGTCCGCCAGGCGGCGCCGTCCCAGAGCCAAGGGGCGACGGGCGGCTTCCCGGGGAGCCCCAGCCCCCAACTGACTCCAGACCACCCTGCGGAACAGGCCAGGGCCCGGCGCCGGGCCTGCGCACAGGGGGCGCTCCCTCCTCCCGCCCGGACCCCCCACCCCCGCCCGCGGCGCGCTCACCTTCTCGCCGGTCAGCACGTGCAGCCCCTCGCGCACCTTGGCGAAGGAGCCCTCGCCCAGCTTGCGGCTGCCCACCAGGTAGTGGCCCACGCGCTTGTGGTGCTGGAAGTCGCGCAGCCGCTCGCGGGGCACGCCGCTCACCCAGGCGGGCAGGCAGCCCCCCTCGCGGGCCGCGTCCCCGCCGGCCCCGCCGCCCCCCGCCGCCGGCTCGCCCGGCAGCCCGTCCCCCGCCGCCGCCGGCATCGCGCCCGCCGGCTCCTCCTCCGGCTCCGGCTCCCGCTCGGGCTCCGGCTCGGGCTCCTCCCGCCGCCGCCGGCCCGGCCCCGCCGAGCGCGCGCAGACAATAGCGGCCGCCCCGGGCGCCCGGCGCCGGGACCCGCCCCCAACAAGTTCTTCCTCGGCGGGTCGCCCGGCCCCTTCCAGGGCGCGGGCCCCGCCCCGGTGCTGCCCGGGCGGCGGAGGACCGTGGCCCCGCTCGGGGGCGCGGGGGAGCGGCGGGGGGCGGGCCGGTGCCCGGGTCCCGGGTCCCGGATCGCGGCGCCGGTCCGCGCGGGCGAGGGCGCTCCTGGCCGGGCTGCAGGCGCCCTGCGGGCGGCGGCGGGAGGAGCCCCGCTCAGCCCGGAGCTGCGGAAACTCGATCCGCGCGGCGGCGGGACCAGCGAGCTCCCCGCGCGGCCCGGGCGCTTTCAAACCCGCTGGCCCCTCCCTCCCCGCGCGCAGCAGCCGCGCGCCCCCCGCCGGGGAGAGGGAGGGGCCGGGCGGGCGGCGGCGCGGCCTCCGGGCGGCGGACGGGGGGACCCCGCGCGGCCCTCCAGACGCGCGCTCCCGGCCGCCCCGCCAGGGCCGCCTCCTGCGGGTTCCGAGCTGGGCTTCTGGACCTTTCGGCGGTGAAAGCCGCCCCGCGGCCGCGCCCACCGGGGCCGGGAGAGGGAGGAAGGCGCCCCGACCGTGTCCAGCCCGGGCCCGGCGGACGGTAGGCCCTCTGGACCGGGGCGGGCGGACGGATGGACAGATGGGGGCGGGGGCGAGTGGAAAGAAGGGGGGCGGCAGCCTCCTCCCGGGTCGCACGCAGCCAGGACTGCTCCGAGGAGGAGGAGGAGGGGCCGCCTCCATGGGAGCGACCGCAGGACCCGGGCGCTGGCAGCCGCTGCCCGCAGGTCCCCCCCTTGCTCTCGGCCGCGGGCGCCGGCGGAATGGGTCCGGGCCCCGCGCTCCCGGAGGCTGGAGCCGCGCGCCCCTGACCGCCCCTCGCTCACACCCGCCCCGCTGCCCCGACGCCTCCTCGACCCAAACGCGAGGCGTCTCCCTTGGGCGGCTGGCGGGGACGGGAGCGTTTACCGGGGCCACCTGTTGAGCCGCGGGACGAGCGGCGCCAGCGGCTCCCGCACACGCTGCGCCAGCGCCGAGGGAAGCGGGGCTTGCCCAGCTCCTTGCCTTTGACTCCTCGGCAAACAAGCCTGACCTGACCCGGTCCCTGCTCTGAAATGGGGGGGCGGGGGCGCTGTCATTAACCCACGGCCTGGGGGCTCCGACCCGTCCCAAAATGACCCCGGGGGACATCTGTCTTAATAGATGCCATTTCGAATGGGATCTGTGCCCGGCTACTCACAGGGTTACAAGCCACCAGCCCTGTACGACTGAGCTGGGGTTTTTAAATATGTTTTTAAAATATATATTGATTTCAGAGAGGAAGGGAGAGAGAGATAGAAACATCAATGATGAGAAAGAATCATTGATGGGCTGCCTACTGCACACCCCACACTGGGGATCCAGCCTGCAACCCGGGCCTGTGCCCCTGACCTGAACTGAACCTGGGACCCTTCAGTCCACAGGCTGATATTCTATCCACTGAGCCAGGCCAGCTAGGGCAACAGCTGTTTTTTATCCACCTTCCCAATGTTTCAGTTTTTCTTTATTAAATACTGGGGGCCCAGTGCACGAATTCGTGCACCTTGAAAGGAACTGTAGGCCGTGAGACTGCAGTGGGCACAGGGGCGGGTCTCGGCTCATCCTCTGCCCCTGCCCGGCCCCTCCCACTGTGGCCTCCAGCCCCCTGTCTGCCAGCAGCCACTCTCCTGCCGCCACTGCTCCCCAGAGTGATTGGGGCCTGCGCCAGCAGCGGGTGCAAGCAGGGCCAGTGCTGGTGCCGTCAGTGGGTGCAAGCGGCAGCCTCTCAGGAGCAGGGGGAGTTAGAGAAGCCCTGAGGGGCGATCGGGCCGTAGCTGCTGCTGCCCGTAACTGTTGACAGCGCTGGACGATCAGGGCCAGTGACGGCTCCAGCAGCAGGTGCAAGCAGGGCCAGTGCTGGTGCCGTCAGTGGGTGCAAGCAGCGGCTGCTGCCCCGATTGCCTCTCAGGAGCAGGGGGAGGTAGAGCAGCCCTGAGGGGCAATCGGGGCCGGTAGCTGCTGCTGCCCATAACTGTTGACAGCGCTGGGCGATCAGGGCCAGTGACGGCTCCAGCAGCAGGTGCAAGCGGGGCTGGTGCCAGCAGCAGGTGTGAGCGCCAGGTGGGACCACAGCACGCAGGAGCAAAGAATTTTCAGTAACCAGCAGAGGCTCGCCCCGATGACAGCAAACGGCGCCCCGCCTTGGTCTGGTGCCCACCTCACTTGCTCCACCATCCCACCGCGGCCAACGCCCACCATGTTCCGTGTGCACACCCCCTGGTGGTCAGAACACGTCATAGCAACCGGTTGTTTGGTTGTTCTGCCATTCGGTCTATTTGCATATTAGCCTTTTATTATATAGGATACAGTTTCTAGTCTGGCCAGCATGGCTCAGTGGTTGAGCGTGGACCTATGAAGCAGGAGGTCACCGTTGGATTCCCGGTCAGGGCACATGCCCAGGTTGCAGGCTCATCCCCAGCAGGGGGCGTGCAGGAGGCAGCCGATCAATGATGCATCATTGATGTTTCTCTCTCTTTCTCCCTCTCCCTTCTCTGAAATCAATAAAAAGATATATTTTTTAAAGGTACAGTTTTGAATGTTTTTCTTGCTGTGTTTAAGGGACTTCTTTGCCACCACCCCACCCCCACAATTTCTGCAAGGCCCATTCAATCTCTTTAATGCCTCTAATTCATCACATTTTTTTGTTGTGTTTTTTGTTGTTGTTGTTAATCCTCACTCAGTGGTATTCTTCTTTTTTTAACTCTTTATTGTTGAAAGTATTACATATGTCTCCTTTTTCCCCCACTGACCTCTCCCCAGCCACCCCCAACCCCCAGCACGTGCCCTCACCCCCCTAGTGTCTGTGTCCATTGGTTATGCTCATACGCACGCATACGAGTCCTTTGGTTGATCGCCTACCCCTCCCCCACCCGATGATATTTTTCCATTGATTTTTAGGGAGAGTGGAAAGAGAGGGAAAGACAGAGAGAAACATCGATGGTTTTAGAAACACATCGATTGGTTGCCTCTCACATGAGCCCCTACCACGGCCCAGGCCAGAGAGGCGCGTGCAACCAAGGTGTGTGCCCTTAACCAGAATCGAACCCGGGCCCCTTCGGTCCACAGGCCAACACTCTGTCCACTGAGCCACACCATCTGGGCCAAGACTCACATTTGTCTGAGGACAGTAACTTGGGGGAGAGGGGACAGTTTTCTAGTGAATGATGGATATGGGGCTCACTGTGGGGTCACCCCACTCTGCACCTTCTTTCAGAAAAGCTTTGGGCGCCCGGCTGGTGTGCAGCGGCGGAGCGTGGACCCCTGATCCAGGAGGTCTTGGTTCAATTCCCTGTCAGGGGTTGCAGGCTTGGTGCCCAGCAGGGGCGTGAAGGAGGCCGCTGATCAATGATTATGTTTCTTTCTCTCCCTCTCCCCTCCTCTCTCTGAAATCAATTTAAAAAAAGATTTTTTTTTTTTTTAAAGAAAAGCTTTGGGAATCTGCCAATGTTGTATTGATAGAGTATGACTTATTTTTTAATTCAGGAGATTAGCTCTACATGAAAATTCAGAAATCCCCTTGTTATGGTGTGAGGCGGATGTCAGCGACTGTTCATCAAAGTCTTTATGACCTAAAAAAAAATTAGCTTCAGGCATAAAAATGGTGGCAGACGTTCACAATGAAATAGAGATTTTCTTTCCTTTTAATTACCCTCTCGGGGTGGAGGTCAGAAAAGGGGTGAAGAAGAGAGGAAAAAGCAGGCCCATTAGTTCTTTTCCAAGCCTGACGCTGGGTTTGGTTCAGGTTCACTGCTAATTCCATCATCCGCTGGGAAGGATGACGAAGAGAAGTCAAAATCCTACACCTGCCTGGGCTTGGCGATGGTTTCGGAACCACAGGGCCTGCTCTCTACAATGGCCGTTTCAGGAGGAATGACCCCAGACGTTCCCAGAAAACGTCTGGCTGAAAAGCCGTTGTCCAGCATCGAAGACGTCCCGCCTGTCCTAAGCTGAGTTCCTTCTCCCCCCGTGGGGTCGCCCTGGGCACTGTTCCAGCTGTCCTCACCCCTACACCTTTTCCTTTGCCGCCCCCGCCCCCCACCTGCCCCTTCCATCCCGTTCCTACCTGGTTCCCTTTCCCGTGAAGCCTCCCCAGCCAGCTGTGAGAGCCAGCGGCCCCTCCACGTCTCCCTCCGGCGTCTGTCTGTTCTCTTAGACTCCCTGAGAGCGGGAGTTGTATCTTCCTTTACATTTCACTTGCCTGGAGCACCTAGCACGGTGCCCGAGACAAATAAAAATTTGTCAAATAAATGAATGGAGTCCGTGTTCCCCGCGTCTCCAGTGAGCGGGTTTCATGGCTCCTGAGAGCAAGGCCTCATCTGTCCTGGGGGAGGACACATCCAGTAACTTTCTAAAAGCTCTTGCAAGGCCCAGCTGGCGTGGCTCCGTGGCTGAGGGTCAGCCTATGAACCAGGAGGTCACAGTTCGATTCCCGCTCAGGGCACATGCCTGGGTTGCAAGCAGGCTCATTCCCCAGTGTGGGGTGTGCAGTTGGCCAATCATTCAGGTTTCTCTCTCTCCCTCTCTCTTCCTCTCTGAAATCAATAAAAACAAATAAAATAGAAGCAGTTGCAGGTCAAAGATGGGCCATTCCCTAATATGGAGGAGTCAACATTTAAACGGCGTTACCCGTCGCCTGAGAAGCCTTCTGGGTTGACTGGCAGCAGCAGCTTCCTTCCTCCAGGCCTCCTTCCCCCTCTCCTCCGCCCTCCCTCCCCATGGTGGGGAGACTGACTAGGTTCCCATGCGGGCCAGGAGGCCCAGCGGGAGGCAGTCGGAGGCAGCAGGAGCAGGCTGGC